AAAAAATGGCTACAATATCGGTCTCACGAGCTCACCTGGGTTTCTGAATACAAAACTTAACCTAAAATGGTAAAATGTCCTATTTATAGTGGGCTGGAAAAACTGGACAAAAATACCCCTGCGAGGTCAGTGCGGGCGCACAAAAGCAACTGCGGCCGCACTGGCTCTTTTGACTTTAACTTTAAGTTCTCTGAACTGGAAAACGCGGACCGCATGAAAGTGCAGCGCGGCCGCGTAGAGGGTCTGGCGCGGTCCGTACAAACAGGACGCGGACAGCGTGGCATTGTTTTGGTCCCTTGCCCAACTCACTGAACCTTACAAATGCGGACCGCACAAAGCAGGAGTGCGGTTGCGAAGCTTCACTGCAAACCGCGAAAATCCTACCGTGGTCATGTGACTTTAAGCCTGAATATGTCATATCTCTGAACCTCCTAGTGCTGCCACGGTCACTGTTGTGCGGTCCGCTCTAGGCCCTTTCTTCTTCAATTCTCTTGGTCTTTGATACTTGAGCAGGTTTCACTCCTTTTTGAGCCGATCTTTGACATTTCGTCACTTTGTCGATCAAACCTGCAATCAAGCACAACTTGTGAGCATTTTGGGACTATTTTGTAGCAAATTTATATTCACAACATAGGCAAGTAGAGGCATAAACACGTTAAAATCCTAACTTATCACATACCTGGTATGCGACCGCATTCTCAACCGCAAAATCACATTTTCTGGAAAACCTTATTTCTTGACTTTTTATAGCATAGATCAGTCCAAAAAGTTCCGAACCGCGGCGAGATTTTACGCATCTCTAACACATGATCCTAATTGCCACTACGAGCTTTTGGGTTTAGGGTGGAAATTTGTTTTTTCACGGGGCCTCACATCCTCCCCCACTTAAAATCATTCGTCCTCGAATGAGGATCAAGGTTCGCTTATTATTGATCTCTATGCAACCTACTGCTTACATACTATTAGTCTGCAAATTTGGTCAACTCCCTGAATTTCCAAAAATTTCGCCAGAGTTTCCCTTGTATCTAGGCCTTATCCACCTATCAGAGAGCCCCAGGACATATCCTAACAGCATAACCATATTTCATAAATGTAGCATAACTTGTACAATCATCAACCATGGCCGTATAGGCAACATTTTACCAAAAAAGGGACAGTTTTACATAGATCAAGTCTAAAGATAAGAGTTCATAGGAGCTAAATGCATAAAAGCTATTACATGACTATTCAAACAAATGTGGATACTTCTTTTTCATTTCATCCTCGACTTCCCAAGTGGCTTCCCCAACTTGCTGGTTCCGCCATAATACTTTCACGGATGCAATTTCCTTATTTCTCAATTTCCAAACCTGCCTATCAAGAATGGCAACTGGAACTTCTTCATATGACAGCTTCATTTACCTCAATAGTTTCAACTGGCACAATAGTGGACGGATCTCCCACTACCTTCCTCAACATGGACACATGAAAGACCGGGTGTATTAATGACATTTCGGGTGGCAGCTCGAGCTTGTATGCCACCTGACCAATCCTCTAAATGATTCTGTATGGTCCGACATTCCTCGGACTCAATTTTTCCTTCTTCCCAAATCGCATGATACCCTTCATATGGGAAACCTTCAAAAATACCCAGTCATCTTCTTTGAACTCCAAATCTCTGCGACGAACATCCGAGTTAGACTTTTGGCGACTCTAAGTAGTTTTCAACCTCTCCTTAATAATCTTAACTTTCTCCATGGCCTGATGCATGAGGTCCGGCCTTATCAATTCCGCTTCTCCCACCTCGAACCACCCAATAGGAGATCTACATCTCCTGCCATACAACGTCTCAAATGGTGCCATCTGGATACTAGCATGAAAGTTGTTATTGTAAGCAAATTCTATGAGTGACAAATGGTCATCCCAACTACCTTTGAAATCAAGAGTACAAGCATGCAACATGTCCTCAAGCGGCTGAATAGTCCGCTCTACTTGCCCGTCGGTTTGAGGATGGAAAGTTGTGCTAAGATTTACCTGCGTACCCAAACCTTGCTGAAATTTCTTCCAAAAGTTGGCAGTGAACTGAGCCCCTCGATCTGAAATGATTGAGACTGTAGTGCCATGTAACCTGACTATTTCTTTGATATACAACTGAGCATACTGTTCCGCTGTGTCGGTAGATTTAACTGGCAAGAAGTGCGCTGATTTTGTGAGTCGGTCAACAATCACCCAAATTGAGTCGAACTTGCGCGGAGTGCGTGGTAACCCTACCACAAAATCCATGTTGATCATCTCCCATTTCCACATTGGAATTTCTATGCTTTGAGCCAATCCACCGGGCCCTTGGTGTTCGGCCTTTACTTGCTGACAATTCGGACATTTTGCCACAAAATACGCCACATCTTTCTTCATGTTATTCAACCAATAAATTTCCTTGAGATCATGATACATTTTCGTGGAACCTGGGTGCACGGAATACCTGGAAGTGTGAGCTTCTGCCATTATCCTTTCCCGAAGAGCGTCGATATCAAGAACACATAGGCGGTCTTGGTACCGCAGGGTACCATCATTCATGCCAAAGGAAAAAGCTGTAGTATTGTGTTTGAGAATCCCCTCTTTCAGTTGTGCTAACAACGGATCCACGAATTGCTTCTCTTTCACCTCTTCCACAAGCAATGATTCAGCCCTATTCTGCATAATTACCCCTCCTTCATTAGAGTCCGCAAGGCAAACTCCCAAACTAGCCAACTGGTGAACCTCCCTGGCCAACGGCCTCTGATGGGACTCCAAATGAGCTAAACTTCCCATGGATTTTCGACTAAGGGCATCTTCCACAACATTAGCCTTCCCCGGGTGATAGAGAATATCAATGTCATAGTCCTTAAGTAACTCTAGCCATATTCTTTGCCTCAGATTCAACTCTTTCGGCTTGAAAATATATTGAAGGCTCTTATGATCTGTAAATACATCCGCATGGACCCCATACAAATAATGTCACCAAATCTTTAGCGCAAACACCACTGCTGCCATCTCTAAGTCATGGGTTGGATAGTTTTTCTCATGATTCTTGAGTTTCCGAGAAGCATAGGCTATAACCTTGCTGTGTTGCATTAACACACACCCAAGCTCGACTCTCAAAGCATCGCAATACACTACAAACCCCTTTGTACCCTCTGGCAGGGCTAACATCGGTGTTGTTGTCAATCTTGACTTCAATTCTTGGAAACTCCTTTTACAAGCATCGGACCACTGGAATTTAACTGCTTTCTGCGTCAATTTAGTCAATGGAGAGGCAAGAGTAGAAAACCCCTCCACAAACCTCCTGTAGTACCCAGCCAAGCCCAAGAAACTGCGAATCTCAGTTGGAGTGGTAGGTCTAAGCCAATTCTTCCTGCTGCAATCTTGTGAGGATCAACCATAATTCCTTTCTTGGAAATGACATTGCCCAAGAACTCGACAGATTCAAGCCAGAATTCACATTTTGAAAATTTTGCATACAATTGATGTTGCTGAAGAGTCTGCAAAACTACCCTGAGATGGGCCTCCCGACTCCGGGAATACACAAGGATATCATCAATAAACACTATCACAAAGGAGTCTAGAAAGGGCTTGAAGACTTGATTCATAAGATCCATGAAAGTTGCTGGGGCATTTGTTAGCCCAAAAAACATTACCATAAATTCAAAGTGCCAATATCGAGTTTTGAAGGCTGTTTTTGGAATATCCTGCTCCTTTATCTTCAATTGATGGTACCCAAACCGCAAGTCAATCTTTGAGAAACATGTAGCACCTAACAATTGATCAAATAAGTCATCTACTCTTGGCAGAGGATATTTGTTTTTGATTGTGACCTTGTTGAGTTGCCGGTAGTCAATACACATCCGCAGCGATCCATCTTTCTTTCTTACAAACAAGATCGGTGCACCCCATGGCGATACACTCGTCCGGATGAAACCCTTCTCTAGCAAATCCTTCAATTGTTCCTTTAGCTCTTTCAATTCTATCGGTGCCATTCTGTAAGGTGGAATTGATATAGGTTGTGTGCCTGGTATCACATCGATCCCAAAATCAATCTCCCTATCCGGTGGAATCCCATGGAGTTCATCTGGAAAGACGTCCGGAAATTCATTCACAACTGGTACAGACTCAAGGCTAAGCGCCTCGGTATTGGTGTCTGTGACCCGAACTAGATGATAGATACACCCTTTCTTGATCATCTTCGCAGCCTTAAAGTAGGAAATAAACCGACCACTAGGCACTACATTATCTCCCTTCCATTCAATAGTGGGCTCATTAGGAAATTCAAGCCTAATGGTTCTAGTCCGACAATCAAGTTTGTCAAAGCATGAATAAAGCCCATCCCCATTATTACATCAAAATCAACCATCCCTAATTCAATAAGATCGGCCATGGTATCCCTACTACGAACCGTGACAATACAACTTTTATAGACTCGAGCAGCCAAAATTGACACACCAACCGGAGTAGATACTGAGAATGGTTTAGGAAGTCGTTCTGGTTCTATCCCGAATTCCATAGAAACAAAAGGGGTAACATAGGACAAGGTGGAACCGGGGTCAATAAGTGCATACACATCATGAGATTAGACAATCATAATACCTGTAACAACATCTGGAGAAGCCTCTACAGTCTGGCGACCGCTCATAGCATAGAACCGGCTGGGTCCTCTTGAACTCTATGCACCACCCCTTGCTGCACCATGCCCTACGGGTGCTGGGGTACCTCGAGCTAGAGAGGGGGCTGAGGATGTAGCAGCTGCTCGACTGGATGGTTGAGCTGTGCCCCTACCCGCTTCCTGGCGGGATACACGACAATGTCTCTAAATATGACCCCTCATCCCACATCCATAGCAAATAGGTAACTCCATATAGCAAATTCCCGAGTGCATCTTCCCGCACCTAGGGCATGGGGACCTCTGCTGCTGCTGGAACCTCTCGACCGACCGACCCCGCTGATGGGATCCCTTGTTTCCCTGACCGAGCCTGAAACGACTCTATTACTGCTGAATGGACCCTGATGGCGGTACACTGGCTGAAGACTGCGCAACAGACTGGGAAGACCCTGATGATTCTCCTCTGAAAGCGGATCTTCCCCCACCTAGTGACTCTCTCATGCTGCCCGTAGACCGGGCCTTGTTGTTACCCTCTATCTCCATTTTGCTCTTCAATTTACGGTTCACTATGGCCTAAGCAAATGCTACCATCTTCCCATAATTTATGTCAGAATTCAATGCAGCCGTAGAAGCCTCATTAATTGTCAAAGAATTAAGGCATCTCATCAATAAAATCTTGAGGGTCTTCTTCTGGATTGGCACCCGTAAACACTGGAGGGTCTAACTGAAGAAATCTGTTCACCCTAGAACTAGTAGAATCCCCTTGCTGGCTGGATGAACTGGGCGCAACATTTGACCTCTGGGCCTGAGAGGCCACTAGCTGGGTCAACATCTGAATGGCTCCCCTAAGATCCCCATCAGAAATACCAGAACCGGAAACTGGAGCTAGAGGCGGGATAGAAGTATCAACGGGAGGGATAGTGGTACCCTCCACAGGTGTAGGAACTGAGGTAGTCTACTCCGGAGTAGAAGAATCCGGTAGAGCAATAGCAGGGTGGCTATCCTCACCCGCATCATCAAGCAGGGAATCATCCGCCACTCTTGAGGTGGCATTAGCATTGGCTTCCTGGCCAATTCTCGCTTTCTTCTTAGGTGCCATACACTAAAAGATAGAACAACACACTTAATAAGGGAGGGAACAGTTTCACCGCATGATCCAGAATATCAAAGAAGGGTGTTATTCCTAAATGCCAAAATAGCCCCCAACTTATAGATGTGGTCGACTTCACACCGATAAGAAAGACTCTACTAGACACGGCTCCGAGACATCCTAGGACACTTTAAAACCTTAGGCTCTGATACCAAGTTTGTCATGCCCCAACCTCGGGAGGCGCGACCAATGCTCAATCGAGTAAACCCAACTGAGCAAGCCTTATCAAACACTTCCTGCCCAACTCGATGTGAATAAGGAAACCATGCTTTCATTCATTTGTTTAGACGAGGAAAGATAGTGCATTCTACAAGGTTAGTTCATTATAAATCACAACATTAATCCATAATTAAGTTCCCAAGATTACATACAATTACACTTTAGCAAAACGAGAATTTTGAATTACATCATAGTTCGTAAACCCATCCAACGCCCGTGCATAACCCACACATATGTCTACGGAGCCTCAAAGGATACCCAAGACAGTGATAACAATGCCGGTGACAAGGCCCTGGCTATACCTCTAAATAGACATCTATAACAAAAGGCATATCACAAAACCCCTTTAAGGAGGAAGGGGCTCACCAAGAGTTTGAGAAGAGGATTCTTCGCTACATACGATCGGCACTATCCGCTATGGAGCCACCTACATTCATTTAAAAATGTAGCGCCCCCGGCAAAAGGGACGTTAGTACCTTGGAATAGTACTAGTATGTATAACTAAATACCATCTACTTAGAAAGAACTTTCATACAAGAATAAAAAAATCACAAGTATAACTCAAAACTTTAAACGATCATCACATTATCAAATAAAGGAATCATACAACTTTCACATCATTTTCCCATAGCTTTTAGTTTGGGGTATTTCACACTATTCATTATTTGTTCACAATACCACTGCTATCTTGAGCGGAGTCCGATCTCGACCCGATCGGCTAGGTTGCCTCATTTGAGACATATGCTTCAATCACAATCTCATTTTCCTTCTTTTTCGGAATTCATTCACAATACCTTCCCAATACCACAACTATCTTGAACGGAATCCGATCTTGACCCGATCGGCTAAGTCGCCTCATCAAGGCATTGTTCCCTTCTCATAAATCAATTCATTTCACATATATCATTTCATAGGCACTTGGGGCCATGACTTATCAAATCATTCTTTGCACTAGGCCACATTTCACATCGTTCCCAATTTTCAATATTAGCTTTGCCAGTTAGGACAATAGGTGCACAAAGAGCAATTTAAATTGTAAACATAGATAAGATTTCACGCAGATAGCACAACATATTCAGCTGCAATCTCAATTTAAGGTCTAAACATTTCCAATACATAATTCATACTTGTGCCCCTTTCAAGCTGTCAAGATAACACATTTATTGTGTTGGGACATATTTTTCACACACTTCCTGGGTATGCGGCAGAAATGCAGTCCGCATACCCATTCTGCGGTCGCATAATGCACCGCAAAACTGCCCCTCACAAAATCCCACGGGAAATATACGACGACTATGCAGTCCGCATATCGATTATGCGATCACATACTTGACCGCATAGTTGACCTCAAATTTGACCAATACACTGACTCACTTTGTGGCGATTATGTGGTCCGCATACCTGATATGCGACCGCATTCTCAACCGCAGAATCGCATTTTCTGGAAAACCTTATTTCTTGACTTTTTATAGCATAGATCAGTCCAAAAAGGTTCGAACCGCGGCGAGCTTTTACGCATCTCTAACACATGATCCTAATTGCCACTACGAGCTTTTGGGTTTAGGTTGGAATTTTTTTTTCACGGGGCCTCACAAGCCACCTGCGGGGAATCAGTGCTCGACTCTATCCTTTGTACCAAAGGGTTCTTATTATCCTCATCATCTTCATCTTCAGCACTGGGACTTGACCCAGTAGCTGAAGTCGAGACCTTGGCATCAGCTCGAGGCCTGCATGATTTGGGCTTCTTTGACGTAGGAGATTTAGCAGCCGCCTCTTTCTTCCTCTTCTTACCCTTATCAGGCTTGGAGGTATCTTCCTCGCCGTCGGGAGGCGCTCTCATTAGCACTCCATCACCAAGGCCTGCACAAGCATAATACTCAAAGCTTGTCAAAGCGGAGGGTACATGAAAGAGATATTGAAACATGGTAGAAGCGGAAACAAAAGGCATACCGTGATTCTTGGCCGGCCACCGCATTTTAGCCAAGTCGGGCCAAGAACGCTCGAAATGAGGGAACGAAGCATTCAATTGCCTAATCCACCCCGGCAGGTCCTGGACCGCTTCAGGATACCAAACGATAGCTGCATAAAAAAGGGAAGAGCATTTTTTGAGAAGAAGGTAAGAAAACAGTAAAGCATGTTCGAGGGAGAGGCACTTACGCTCCATATTCAACCTCTCCGGGAATGGCATCCTTTCGACTGGGATGATGTCCGAGGTCCTCACTCGGACAAACTTGCTCATCTACCCTCGATCTTTGTTCTCATCAATGCTCAAGAACAACGGCTTCGAAGATCGAGGGTGAATCTTAATCAAACCACAAAAAATACAAGGGATATATAGTCTAATCAAGTGGTCAAGGGTGAAAGTCATACCCTCGACCTTGTTGGAGAAATAATGGGGCATATTGACTATCCTCCAGAAAGATGGATAAATTTGGCCAAGCGTCACTTGATACTTATGATAGAAGTCGAGAATAACCGGATCTATCGCCGGGGAAGAAGGATCTGAAGAATCAATGGAACCCAAAGTGAATGGGTACGTATATACATAAAGAAAGTCGGACTTATGATCTGTTATGCTCTCATTATAACTGGGAACCTCAACCAGCACTATCCTCTCCCATTGACAGTTTTCCCTCACTTTTTGTATGTTAGTCATGACGCTAATATACCGGGACATGTGTTCGCATCGGCCCGGCATAGATGAGGGTCTCTCGATAGAAAAATCATTTACGGTATCGAACTCAGTAGGGGTACACTGTTCAATGGTAGGGGCCACTTTATGTTTGCCCTTGGATGTTCGAGACGAAGAGGCAGCACCCTCTTTTTGAGGTACTATTTTAGAGGTTCTAGCCATGGTGGTGGAAAGATCTTTCTGATAAAGGAAGTAAGGAACCAAGAACGGAAGAAAGAAGAATGTGAAAAGGGATGACCTTGGCTCTGAAAGTTTGAAGGTGTTGTAAAAGTGTGAATCACGAAACGATTGAGGTATTTATAGAAACCATTTGGGCAGTGGAAAGGACAAACCAATAGCGGTTTGTAGGCTTCTCGATAGTTGTATTGAAGAGCGACCCTTGCGCGGCTTTTTGAGTTATGGCATTTAATTCTTTAATAGGCTGACGTCATGATGGTAGTGCCTAAGAAGCAGGAGTTCAAAACTGTTTCCTATTATTTTATTCTAGGAAACGCGGGGACTATCTGTATGCGGTAAAATTGGAGGGGTCAATTTTATGGTCATCATGGTGCTTCGTAGGCCCGCTTCCTAGGGCTCGAGGTACAGCCTCATAGGGTTTCCAAATGCCCGACTCTGGGGCAATGTGGATCGACACCTACGATGGAGAAATGGGAAGTTCCCTAGGTACTTGATTGAGGCTGACAGCTAGTATGTGCACGTACCATGACATTAAATGACTCTATCCTCAACGTGTCTTTGTAATAAATGCACTTTATACGATGTTAGGGTTTCCCCCTGATATATAAAGGGGATTCTTATCATTTTTAAACACACAATATTTTACACACTACATCCAATACAAGAACATTCACTTCTCTCTAACTCAAACATACTCCCTATTTAATCCTATTGCTTACGTTTGTTGTCTTGCTTATTGTGTGCGGTGAAATCCGAGGAACCGATTCCCCCTTGACATAATACTTCGAAGAATGAACACGAAAACACGGGATCTCGGGTCAGTCGCTTCCCTCGAAACCTGTCGATGCCCTGCCAAGAATAACATCGGCTGAAGCCCCGACGAACGCAGGAACCCCTCGAGGAATGCACACGAGGTTGATCAAATCTACTCAAGAGGCTCGACGTCAGCCCACATGCGACGTAAAGCTAAAATGCTGTCACATGTCATTCTCTTTTGTCATACTACACATCTTGTACTTAGTTTGGGCGTCCCCTTCCTATAAAAGGGGGGTCACCAACATCTTTTAAAACAGCTCCAATCATCCTACTCAAGGGCAATAATATCTTCTCTCTTCCTCTCTTCTCTAATTTGCTTATTCCCCTTGGCTCAAAGCCATTTATCTTCGGTCATTCTTATTGTTTATCACTTGGTACTGGCTCGAGGTCGTCTCCGTATTCATCGCCTCTTAACTTGTTCTTCATTATATAACTTAATATCAGCCGAAAAAGCCTTGTCTAATTATATCTTTAACTATTATCCCATCCCCGGCTATCCCCGATAGTTCGAGATCGATACTAACGCCGACCCCGAGGTCCCATCGACCATCTCTGCATCCGGGCAACAACCCCCACCTTCGGTTTGGTTACTGCCTCTTTTTACCCCGTATTTCATCGTTAAACTTAGCATTCTTAGCATTAACTGCTTTAACAACTAGCTCGAGAATAGATCACGTATTTTTAGAATCCCATTTACAAATTTAATTGTTGTTACCATTTTCACGGTAAACACTTATATTTATTACATTTTATTAATTGTTCTTCATTTGTTGCTCATTATTGATCATAAAGATCCGCCATCAAATTTATCATAACTTTTAATCCTCCATCGACTGCCCTTAGCCAGGCATCTGACTCGACCTCGAGGCCTCGTATACGCAAGCTCGAGGCCCAGATTTCCAGCCATTCAGTTTGATTATTACACTGTCTACAAGCTATTGTCTTATTTTCTATTCTTTCACTTAGCATCTATTGCCTAACAACTAGCATAAAGATAGATCACATATTTTTAGAACCACAAAATCAAATCTAATTGTAATTACTATTTTCAAGATAAACAATTATTGAATGACACCTAACCAAATGCATAAGCCACGTGGTGTTTGCAAGTGAACAACTGAAAGTCCATAGCACCTCAGAAAAGACTAAGGTAACATGGGTATCAATACAAGCAACAATTAAGTAATAAGGACTGAATCTTATGGGGGGAAATTGGGGTCGTGATAAATAGCCGTTAAGAGATGGAATAATTTTTAATGACTATGTGAAGTTAGATATAAATTTGATCGATCCTCTAACTAAACCTGTGAGAAGAAAATTAATTCTTTAAACCTCAAAAAAGAATGAGTTAAGACTGACATGTTGTCAATAAAAATGGTAATGCTACCTATGTGATTGAAGATCACATGAAGTAGGTTCATATGGGTAATAGCAAGTTGATATTGGCAATGAAGCACTAAAAGAGAGTGCTTGACTGCTACCAATTGAGAGGTTGAGTTATAACTCTTAATGAATTCATGTCCCTTGTGGGTGATGTTTTAAAAGTAGCATACACTTTATAAATTCACCTATATGAGAGTGGAGTGGGGCTTCTCCTATGAGATTTTGGCCTAGTCTCTAGAGCTCTCATGAATAACCAGGCACGGGCATGACCTATTGGATGCAAAACTGCGTTGAACATCAAAATTGCAAGGGTCAAAATATGATTGATAAAATCTCTGACTTACTATAAGAATTATTGGTTCATAGAAATATTATATTTCACCAGTGATTTTGTGGGTCAAATTATATCGGTCTAAGTTTGGTTCATAGTCCAAAAGATACCAAACCTATTACATTTAGACCATAAAATCCAATAAATTTATTCTTTTGGTTTTAGAAAGAGAATAAAATAATCTTTTGAAATGTGGGGGATATTGTTGTAATAAATTATTTTAAATGATTATTTTAAATAAAAAGATAAACAATTTAGTATCTTCTTTATGAAGACTTATGGCCAAGTGGCATGGCCTTCAACAAGTAGCAAAGTTTTTTAATAAATGTCAAGACTTTCAACAAGTGTTAAGATTTTGGACAAGTGGCCAAATTTTTTCACGCAAAAATGCCTTTAAATAGGCTCAAACACTTGAAGAAAGATCATCACACAAGAAGTCTTCACTCTTTCCTCCTTCCAACATTTCCTACTTTTTTCTCCTTCTTTTATACTATCTAGTTGTCATTTCCCTTCTTCTATTCTAACTATCTGGGTTTGTGATTTAATATTTTGCTGATTCATATATCCTCTTAAATAGAGGTAGATTTGTTTAATCCTAGGGAGACATTTCACAATGTTGAAATAGTTTCTTAGGACAATGCTCAACGGTCAACACGACTCCAGCCAATTTGTGTATTTATTTATAATATTATTACAATATTATTGTTATTGTCTTCCAGTAACATTTTACTACATTTTTGTGACAAACCTATGCGGTAAAATTGTGATGGACTTAAGTTCTTTAAGGACATAAATTACATTATTATAATCGGTCTTTTCTTATTTGCAAAATGTATTTTCGTGAACAAAACTCTCTCAAATATGTGGAATGTTACAAAATTACATCTAGTCGAAAAAAGAAAATAATCAAAAGTTGTTTTATTGTCAAAAGAAGGCATAATCTACGTTCCAATATACCGTCTGTTTAATTAATTTTAGATGAACATGTACTCTTGCGGAAGTAAAGATAATAATGTTGATGAATTGTCAATGTAAATGCACATAGATGATATGCGTAGACGTACAATGATAATAGAAGGCACATATTGGGATTGGACATACGATTAGGCTAAAGCGTAGAATAAAAATTCTCAACCACAAATAATGTTTGAAGAGGGAGATTATATAACGTCTTGGAAAAAGAGAAAGTAACAAAGAAGTCTCTCCTCCGTGGAAAAAGCAATAGTTTCCAAAAAAAATACAAACAACCGCAGGTAGAAGAAGAATAAAATAACGGCAAATTTTAGGACCCCATGTCAAACTGATAACTACTATATTCGGCAGCAGAAATAAAAAAGAATACACCAGCTTAGCCCAAATTAATATATTTCACCTCTAGTAGCATGTCACGTTCTTATGTTTTCATTTTCTTTAGTTCTAGCCAACTCCTTGATGTCATCAATGAGACTGTCGAGGTTATTGTACGACGAAGCTCCTTCTCCAACACTTAGTTTTGCCAACTTTGATAATTTCTCAATTGATTTCTTCAACTCGTCTCTTTTTATTTCCATCAGATCCTTTATCATTCTCTCTATAGTTGATCTATCACATATGTCCTTCATGTCCATCCCAATTTGCCATAATTCATTTACTAATCTACTATTGACTCTCTGATCCACATATTTTGGCCAGCATATCATGGGCTTTCCCTCACAGATACTTTCCAATGTTGAATTCCACCCGCTATGTGTTAAAAATCCAGCAATGGATGGGTGGGCCAGTACCATCTTTTGTGGAGCCCAACTCACTATGTAGCCATTTCCCTTGCAACCCTCTGCAAGTTCCTTCATAAATTGAACGTCTGATTTGCCTCCCTTCAAAATGTTGGGCCTCATGACCCACAAAAATTTAACTTTACTATTCAATAGGCCATGTTGAAATTCCAAAATTTCCTCCTTTGATACAACTACAACACTTCCAAAACTCACATACAGTACTGATCCCATGGGCTGCGCATCAAGCCATTTAATAGAACTATGATCTTCTTCCCACAAACTATTTGAGAAGGGCAAAGATGGAGTGTTTTTTGAAGCAAGTTTAGCCTTTAAGTGCAAGTGTACTGGCCCAATTGCATATGTTTTAGGAGAGTAAGAGTGAATACAAGAAAGAAAAGGCCTGTCTAAATCTTCAAATGTATACAATATGAGAGCATAGGATTGTTGGATCCGCTCAACTTGCTTCAAAGCGGCTAGGAATCTGGATCAGTCTTACAATCCATGAGACAAAAGTGTGGAAGATCTCGTCGGCGAAGAAGACCTTCCATGGCAGGTATATGTGTTACCGATGCATCCAAGTCATTGTCTAGAAAGAAAATATAAAGTTAGCTCTGCATTCCAAATTTGGATGATTTGTTTAATAATATTCCCTTCACTGGGGAATCTTACAAATTATGAAAGAAAGAAAAATGCCTTTTCAAGTTAAATGACCTTTCTTTTAATGGCTGTTCCGGCAGAGAAAGAGGGCGGGTTACAAATCTATCTATATTATATTAAAAGGAGGGTAATATGCATTGTGGTTAAGCCAAGTGACAAGCTAAAATGAAGCTACTTGACAATTTTAAGAGAACATTAATAATTAAAAATTATAAATGAAAACATAATTAGTGGAAGTAGTTGAATTTATCTTATACATAATCTAAATAGATCTTAGACAAATCCAATCAATATATCTATAATTTATGTTTATATATGTATTGGTATCTACATCTATATTTATATTTTATATCTATATATTGATCCACTCATAGATTTTCTTATATATTAATTAGAAATATGGAGGTGAAAAATTAACTAAAAAGCTATAATAGAAACAAAATAATAAATATAAAAAAGCGTAAATTGAGATAACATATGACTATTTATACTTTGAAGTGAGTTAAAATATAAAATAAAGTGGGTCTTAAGAATAAGACACATAGCAAAGTAAGACAAAGTAATAAGAATTTAAGAAAGATATAGGATAAAGTTAAAAGGATAAGAAGAAAATATAATGTGTTAATTTTGTATCACCCTAAAGTTATGGGATATTGTAAATCCTATTTAAAACTACTTTGTCGCTTTAATTTTAGCCATTTAAAATGGTTATTTGCAAGAAATATATATTTGAAAGGGTAACATCGAAAGAGTTTTTTTTAAGCCTGCGTGCTCTTTTCTAATTTGACATTGAGTTTTTGTAATATTGTTAACTTCTCGAAAAATCAAAACATTTATAAATCGAATTCCAAGAGAATATGCACGCGCGCACACACATTAATCTATAATGTATTTTTTAGAAGTAGTGGTTTACAAGAAAAAAAATCACATTAATCTATAATGTATTGTAATGAAAGTAGTGGACAAGGATACAAATAATTTTAAGTTATGGGTAATGCAATACATACAAGAAATTAAAAAAAGAAGAGAAAGTATATTAGTATATATATATATATATAATTTCAATGTAGAATATTTGGAAGAATAAGACTTATTTGATTTTTTCGAAGAGAATGTATTTTAAATAATAGCAAATAAAATTTGATTGTGGTTAAGTCAAGTGACAAACTACTATAAAACCACTTGGCAATTTAGGATAATATTAATACTAATACTTAATTTAACTTTTTTTTTGAATCTGAATGAAAAGACGGTGAATATTTTTGTAAAGATATTGTCTGCCTATCTTAATTAATAAAATTTTAAAAATAAATAAATTGAAAGATAAAAACAACACATCTATCTTAATTAATTATAAAGATAAGAATATAGGTATTATAAAAAATATGATAAATTTAAATATTAATAAAAGAATAAAAGTAAATAAAAAATTTACTACAAGAAAAAAAAATATTTTTATTTATAATGTATTATAATGGAAGTAACGGACAAGAATATAATAATTTTAAGTTATGAGTAATGCAATATGGACAATAAATTATGGATAATTTTAAGAGATTTGAAAATTTTTTACTTTTTTATTAACATTTATTTAATGATTATATATAACTTTTACCTGAAAGATTAATATATTAAAGTTATTTGCACATAAATTAAATAACTCAAATTACATTACTAGTGGAAACTAATTGCCAATAAGCAGATAAGTCTAGAGTGTTGCTAGTCACTTTCTTCTATCACCCTTTATTAGTGGTAGTCTTTTCCATAATTTGTCTCAACTCTCAAGTGTTGATGCTCCACACAAGCTTACTGAACTCAAAATCACAACAAAATTGCAGTTTCTTAAAATTCAAATATATTTTGATGTCCCTTTATATTCATAAAAATCGTTTGTCATTCATTTTCATATGCATTTCTATTTCAATCTATTTTGGCTCTTTTCTATGGGCAGCGAGACCTTTTTTGAAACAAAACCTTTATATATAATTTTTAAATCTATGTAAAGTTTATTTCTTTTATTATTTATTTAATCTTTCAAAGCCCAGGCTCAGCAGGACGAGTAGGACAATAGTAGAGTGAAGGTACGACCTCGATTTGCTTACCCTTACGAGCTTGGAGATGCGCACGTCAAAAGACACTAGTTACGGGCTTTGGTTGTCATAAATACATTCACATGTGGGTGTCACAGAGTGAATCTCGAAAATTGACTCGTAGATCTTGGTAATAAGATATATGCAGCCTAGCTCGAGGGAAAGGCCCGTGGATCATGGTGATGAGCCATGTGGAACTTAGTTCGAGAGAAAGATTATTGGGTGTGCGAATAAAGTTCCACATTTAAAAGTTGAAAAGATTGAGAGCCTACGTATAAAATGAAATGATCGCTTAATGGTGTGAGATTTTTTGGAGAAAATTGTACGGACTTGACAAAGGGACAATATTATATGTGGACTAGTTTAGCCCAATAGTATTTCATTAAATGAGTTTTCCGACAGTTATTTGCATTAGGTCCTCAATATATTTTCTTAGTCTCTACTTTTATGTTTTTATACATTAGTCAGTTTAGAAAGGACTTTTTTTTTACCTAAATGAATTAAAGATTAATAAGAACATCTCGCATAGAATAATACTTTAATCTAGCCAAATGCAAGACACTCCCACCTTTCGTGATTTGTATCCATTTTAATCAATTTATGGAATATATAAATAGTAGTGCTATTTACTAACGTATTTTATATTTCTCCTTCAGAAATGTAATACACTGTTCAATTTAGTTAATGAGATTCAAACTATGACTAACATAATGAATGTATTTTTTTCACCATTTTGATGTGAGAAAAGTTGCAACTTATAATATTTTTCTTGTAGTTTGAATACTCTAAATTTTGATCAAAAATAAAAATTAATCAAATCAAAGCTAACTTCGAATTTTAACTGATTGACTCAATCCAACAAATAGGGAGAGATATGAATACATGTTTCTAACAAAATAAAAGTAATTCAGATTATTACTCCCTTCGTTTCATATTAGATGAGTTATTTTGACTCGGCACGGAGTTTAAGAAAAAAGAAGAATATTTTTGAAACTTGTGGTCTTAAAAGCTTAAGGTGTAAAAAGTTTGTGAGGCCATGACATTTGTGTGGCTATAAAAGCTTCTCGTTAAGAGTAAATGGGTAAAATAAAGAGTTTAAAGTTGAATTATTTCCAAATTTAGAAACCGTATCATTTTTTTTTGAACATGCTTAAAAGGAAAATACTTCATCTAATGGAACTGAGGGAGCACTAATTATCAAATAAATAATGACGCATAGGCTTCTCTCCCAACATTGGGACGCCATTACTAGTAACAGTGTTGTAATCTTATTTAATTTGAATTTACGAAACAAAGGCAAAGAAAGAAAAATGTGTGAGGGAGACAAAGACAGAGTACCTTTGAAGGGATGCTCGCCAGATTCGATGAGTTTTGGCAGATACATGTAAACCCAAACGCAGGAGGGGCTAAGGGTGTCAAAGGGAATAACTGGAACTCCCATTTCATTTCCAATATCAACCACATAATAAGACAGGGCATCTGGTATAACACATGTTACCAGTTCTTTGGCTCCACCAAACAAGTGTTCATTCCACCATGTAAGTGTTTCCTCCATGATATCTTAATGCTTGTTCCACCATGGAGGGGGTGGATTTCTCTCACATGACTATTATAAATAGAGCAGAAGTTGTAGAGAAAGAAGAACACACCGGAAAAAAACACTCGAAACACTCAGTATACAATTGATATACACTCTGTATATAATTGATATACACTCTGTATACACTCAAACTACACTCTGTATACACTGGAAAAACGAATTGCAATCTGATATCATCTTCGGTAAGAATTCAACACCGGCTATACATTGCATTCCTTCCTCTCAGAATTTCCATTTGACTTCTGAGTTCTCCTCCCTTGTTCTGCATTTTTTTAAAACTACAAACAAAGCAACTGTAAGTGTGATTTGCTGCCGAACTTTGCGTTCGCTGAAATACTGGGGTTTGAAGTACCGCTACACCAGTGTGTAATTCGTTCTATCCTGGGAGGAAATAATCCATAACCTTGGGTACTAGGAGGGGATTAAATTCCTTAAGGAAACACTGTGAATTCAGTGGGCTCGAATTAATTTTTGTTTCAGTTATATCATTTATATTTACGTATGTTACTGCTGTAGGTAGCTGATAAAGAGGATAATATATATCTAAGAGTGGAAAAGTTAAAACTTGATCTTCCATCATTCCATATTTATACCAGATAAGAAGTACTATACAGGAAACAACAACAACAAGCTTAAGGAATTTAATAATTTTAATTTCTGTATTTGTGTTACTTTTATTATTCTGAAAACTTAAAACCTTTGTGGTTTTGTGTACTCCCATTTGGAGAGTAAAGACTTCGTGGCGTTTTGTTGGAGATTAAAATCTACGTGATTTTTCACTCCAGTTTTAAACGTTTATTAAACGTTTGTTTGTGTCATTTTTACAGTAAAAATGGCGAATGACGGAAATCAAGCTGTTCCGATGATGACTGCCAATGCATCGACAAGTCGAACTCCGGCGTTGGCACCGACAGAGAAACCAGGAAAATTTTTCGGGATGGATTTCAAGCGCTGGCAGCAAAAGAAGTTCTTCTACTTGACTACGTTATGTCTACAGAAGTTCATCAAGGAAGATGTTCCTGATTTTCCAGATGAAACTCCAGAGAATGATAGCTTTCTCGTGATTGAGGCGTGGAAGCATTCTGACTTCTTGTGCAGAAATTATATTCTTAGCGAACTGGAGGATAATCTGTATAATGTATACAGTGGCGTGGAGACGTCAAAAGAATTGTGGAATGCGCTTGAAAAGAAATACAAAACTGAGGATACCGGGATAAAGAAATTCGTCGCTGCAAAATTTTTGGACTACAAAATGGTAGATAGCAAGTCTGTTATTACCCAAGTCCAGGAGTTACAAGTGATTATTCATGATCTACTTGCTGAAGGTATATTTCAAATGAATGCTAATGTTGAACGTAAAATATTTAGTAATTTTACTAACGGAATTTTCATTGAAGGTCTTGTCATCAATGAAGCATTCCAAGT